TGGGGACCCGCTAGCTGGTGTGACGAGCATTCTCTGTCCCCAATAGCCTGCCAGTACAAGCAAGCACTGAAACATGGAAGGACAGGAAGGTCACGTGTATTTAAGCAGACTTTAGGTAGGCATTGTACAATGCAGGGAGCTGCTAGAGGGGGAAGACCTCATCAACATGATGTAAAACAAGTGTAGGAGGTATTTTAATTCTCCAGAAAGCAGCTGAGATTGGATCATTTTTTAACACCTTCCTGATGGATCTCCATTCAATGGGCTGGGGTGTGGGGTGAAATTGATGGAGGAGTCTTAACAGCAGAAGGTGTCTGAATGAGAAACCAAATCGCTGCTCATGCCCTGCCAAGCTCTGGTATTCTGCAAGCTCCTTGGCATATATTCTGCTAGAAAAGCTTCCTATGTGACTACAGAGCTGGGTGCTGAGCCTGCCTAGAGGAATCTTGGCCTCAAGAGTGCTGCCGCTGCTGCAGGACTTGCCAGCTAGCCCATCCACTGTGAGCCTGGGCTGCCAGGCACAGGTTCAGCACATGTGCTCAAAAGCACAGTTCATTTAAGCGCTGGCCTTGTCCTGACATCCACATTCCCGAACAGATGTCAGCAAATTAAGACAGCCCTGAGCTGAAGAGGCCAGCAAGTGCTCACGCTATGGGATGAGCAGAGGTTTCATTGCAGATGGTCTAGCTGCATCCCCTGGACAGCCCAAGGCAACTTTGAATGCAAAAGTGGAGCCCAGAGAGCTCAGGCAGCCTGTTTTCTGCATAGTAAGAGGCATCAGGCAGGTAGGAAGTGTTGGTCCCAGGACTAGTGCGTGTCTTGTCTGGAGGAGGTTAGGTCAGATGAGGAAGGCTGGTTAGGAGGGGGCTTGCTTGGCTGCTCTCGTGCTTCAGCATAACCAGGCTGCTGGGGTGGCAGCAGGAGTGCCTGCAACCAGAGGCAGTAGCTGATCACTTAGTTTCACTGGTGCTTTCCCGAAAGCTTGCTGACAGTTGCCACATGGGGCAGGATGATGTTTTAGTGAAGGACATTAGCAGCTGTCAGTGTTTTCGTGGAATCCTCATTGTTGCAGACTGAAGGAGCTGTGCTGTTCCCATGGCCTTGCTGCACACCATTGTAGCTCCTTCCTCACAGGCACCACAGGCTGGTCAGCCACATGGGATGAGTTAGGGACATCTCCTGGTGTGTTCACTGCCTTCCCTTGTGTGGCCTTCATTGAGTAACTTTGCCCATCCCCTGTAGAGTGGGGCCTGGAGCTTTCCTTTCCTCCTTCAGACAGGGACCATGTGGGTCAGGCTGGTTACTGAGCCAGGACTGACTCGCACAGAAGCCAGACAGGCTTGCTTGTATCTTCCAAGGCAGAAAAGAGACAGAAATGCAACACAGAGAAGGCACTGCTTTCTGGTGAGAAAGTAGACATCTGCGATTATCTGCGACCCCGTCGCCGGTGCAATGGCAGGGTGCCTGTTCCTACCTGAATGCTTGGCTTCGCTGGGGTGTCTGGCCCTGCTGAAGAGCTAATGGCATGAGCCTGGCCAGAGAAGCTTCGTCGTGTGTGGTTGAGTGCCTTGGCTGTTCAAGCTGCATCCCAAGCATGAGATCGGGTGTGTGCGTCCACTTGTATGGGCAAAGTACCAGAGTGGCTGTGCAGGCGGCGGTAGGATGTCCTCTCTCTAGGAATGAGGTTTTCCAAAACGAAACCATAGAGACATCCCTGAAAATTTGGAACTGCCCATGATTCAGTGTTCATTTCTGAAATACAAGGTCATAGCTGTTGCTTTGACTGCCTTTCTGCTGAAAACTCTTTACTTGTTTGCTTTGGTTCCCATAGTAGACAGTGTGAGAAATTACAAAAGCAGAGATTTTCTGGGAATATTTGCAGGAGTTCAGAGATCTTGGAGCTCTGGAACAACACCAAGCAAGACAAAAATAAATACATATGTATTTATTTTCACAGAAATAAGGCTTTGATGATGCTGAAATTATTCACAGATTTCACCCAAAACTGCCAAATAGTTTCAGCATCTGGAGGAACACAGCATAGGGTAGAGGAGGAAGAAGTGTTGACATTACTTTCATAGCAAACAAGGAACCCAGGCTGGTTGAGAAACTGGGAGAGGAAGGACCTATGTGGCCCCTATGTCTCCCCTTCTTGGGAGAGCCTTCTCCCTCCAGGGCAGCAGCGTGTCAGGTGTTCAGGCTCCTGCATTGCCTGTACAAAACGAACAGAGACTGCAGTGCAGGCTTTTATCCATACCTTGGGCAAGTACTCTCCACTACTAATGTTATAATAACTTTCCACTAAAGCAGCTTTGACTTGTTCCTTTGCATTGCGTAAAAGGAGCCTTTTCACAATAGGTGGATAAAAATCCCTGCCCTGACTGTTACAGCTCTGTTCAGCCAGGGACATTTGCCTCCACATATGTTTTCCAGCGCACCCAGGGGTCTGTAAACCACAATGTTTCACAACAGTCTTCAGTCTCTTGCCCCGATATATGTTGGTTCATGCCTGTTGGTGAGCAGCACCTCCTAAAGCTGTGGCAGGCGGGCAACAGCATGCAAATTTCACTGTGTGTTTGTCTGCTGCATGGGTAGTATTTTACATCTGCCACCAACTGTTGAGTCCGTGCAGGAAGGTGAGTATCAAGCCTGAATGCAGACAGGATGACACACTCTTGGCTGACTGTCTTTGGCCTGGAGGACTTAAAAAATAGCTCAGCCATTTTATCAGATGTCTTTTCCAGTCCTCACTGGCTGGTGATCTTTTTTCATGCTCCATGTCTGATGTCAGCTCCTCGTGGAGCAGTGGCTTGTGCAGGACCCAGGTTGCACCGCCATGGGAAACCTGAAAAGAAACCTGAAAATGCCTGAAAGTGGTTGTACGAAGCCAGCAAAGGTAAGAAATTAACCCTCCCTTTCCCCTCCAGTGATTCTGCCGCACGTCGGGAGTGCCACATACGCCACGAGGAACACCATGGCGGTGCTGGCAGCCAACAACCTGCTGGCCGGGCTGCAAGGGGAGCCCATGCCCCATGAGCTGCTGCTGTGACCGCCGGAGGCCTGCTCCTGCAGGGTGCAGGACTTGGCATTGCCTTCCCCTGGAAAGGCCCTGCAGATGAGTTCTGAGCCTCCTCATCTCTGCAACAGCGCGCCATCCGTGCTTGCAGCTGAGGGAACTGCACCGTAGCCATTAAAGAGAGGCAGTGAACGTGTTGTGCTCATTTCATTTGAGAACGGGGCACACCTGGGTGCGTGGCAGAGTGTGCAGCGCTGTGGGAGCTGTGAGTCCTGTGGTCGTGTTGCTGCTGCACTTGGCCAGCAATATATGGTGTTTGGCCCCGATTCAGAAAACACTTGCAGTGTCAGGACTGTTGCGTATTTTGCTCATCAGCCTGTGTTATACTGTAAGGGAGCTGCTGGTGCAGCACCTGTTCTCAAAATCTGACTTCTGGGGTCACAGCCAAAAGGCAGGCAGTTCTGTGCTTGAGTTCCCAGCTCGCAGCTGGAAGGGAGAGGTAATTGTGCAATTGGCACAGGCCCACTGCTTGCCAAGGGTGCTGCTGCCAGCCTGCTGCCAAGCACGTGTTAAAAGGTCTTGTTGAATTGGTGCCAAGGCATGATGTTTCAGCCCTTCAGGTATCCAAAGAAAAGCAAAAAAAGCCTTATATGGCTACCCTGGCATCTCCAGCTCTGCCTTCTGTATCTGTAACGCATTCTGGACATGGTTCTAAAGTGGGCTGCAAACTGGAATTCACGTTGGCACATTCTGCAACCCCCCACTGGTTCCAACCCCAACTCCCATCCCCAGTTAATTTTTTTCCCAGACGTGCAATGACACATGTTAGTGCAAGGGAAAACCTGACTGGGTGCTAAGCCTCTAGCTGCCAGGAGAGGCTGGATGAGCACATTTCAGGGCCTTTGAGGGTTCCGTCTTCTGCAGCAACGGTCTCACTTCTACAAATGGGGGCTTGAACCCACCTTTCCCTGCCAACAAGCTTCTGCTCCAACTGGTGAAACAATGAGTGAGGCGTGCTCCTTGGATTGCTCCTGTGTGCTGCTTACCATGCCGTGTCTGAGGGCAGCACGCCCCGAGGACATTGTTTCCTTAAGAAAAAGAGAAAGGTGGCTATGACATTGCATTGCAGTGGCAGGAGGAATTTAACATCTTTAAAACTTCTCAGAAATTCTGCTTTGAATGTGTGTGTTGGGTGTGATCCTTGAGCACCTTCCTGCTGCAAGGGTAGAAAGGGTCAAGGCGGCCATTTTCCAGTGTTGTAGGGGGCATGCCCATAAGCTGTCTGCAGCAGGATCCTGCCCGGGGAGTGCACAGCACTGCAGCATCCAGCCGTGCTCTTGAGGACAGGAGCAGCTCGTTCCTCACTTTCTTCAGCAGGGGGCTTGGCTGTGGCTGTGGGCTTGTGAAGTTTTCTTCCCAAGAATAAGGAGCGAATGAGCCCCTTTCCCAGTGTTACCCCACTTCTGGGAGGTGCTCGAAAGGGGCAGCTTTCCTTAGCGTCCCTGGCAGCTGCAATAGTTCTTCCGAGTCTACGGCAAGCAAGCCCCAGTCAGGGGCCTGCTTTTCCTCAGATAGGAGCCAAGCCCTTTGGGGGCCCTGGGCAGTCTTCTCTGATTGGAAGCCACAGTTGCAGCTTCATGGTCTAGACCAGCAATTTTCCCATCCTCCTGTGCAGCCAGAACCTGGGGAGCAGTTCTGCACTACACAGCAAAGGAAAACGCCCAAATGGGATTTTCAGAATAACGGGCAAGGATTTTATGTATAGGATTGTTGCATTTTGAAGTCAACATCAAAGTGTGTTAAAAAAGCACAGTCATGTTACTTTGCTGGAGTTCTACCAGAGACTTGTCGTGCGCCCAGTCTTGCAGCAACAGCACTGACACAGCTGGACACATCTGTGAATTGCAAATTTGTGTTCGCCATGTATGAACATGTGTATGATGAGGAAGCCAGTTCAATTTAACTTCTCATGTTCTACCTCTGTGGGGTGGTGGGGAAGCCTTGGCAAGCACAGCCTGCTAGGGTGGCATGGGGACGAGAGCGGGGTCTGACTGGCCCAGCCCTGCCTGGCTGCTTGGGGGCCACACCAGCCTTGCCATGGTCCCATCTTCTTGTGCCCTCCTGCACCTACGACTACAAGGCGGATGGGACAGCCCTGCCCACTGCCTGCAGCATCTGTTCACAGACCTGC